GCCGAATTTTTAGTTTTTGAGACAGAGTCTCGTTCTGTCGCCCAGGCTGGAGTGCAGTGGCGCGATCTCGGCTCACTGCAAGCTCCGCCTCCCAGGTTCATGTCATTCTCCTCCCTCAGCCTCCCAAGTAGCTGGGACTACAGGTGCCTACCACCACGCCCGGCTAATTTTTTTGTATTTTTAGTAGAGATGGGGTTTCACTGTGTTAGTCAGGATGGTCTCGATCTCCTGACCTCGTCATCTGCCCACCTCAGCCTTCCAAAGTGCTGGGATGACAGGCATGAGCCACTGCGCCTGGCCTTTTTCTTTTGAGATGGAGTCTCACTGGGCTGGAGTGCTGTGATGAGATCTCGGCTCACTGCAGCCTCTGCCTCCTCGGTTCAAGTGATTCTTGTGCCTCAGCCTCCCAAGTATCTGGGATTACACACTCATTCAACCACACCCGGCTAATTTTTGTACTAAATATTTTTAGTAGAGATGGGGTTTCACCATGTTGGCTAGGCTGGTCTTGAACTCCTGGCATCAAATGATCCACCTGCCTTTGTCTTCCAAAGTGCTGGGATTACAGGCATGAGCCACCGTGTCCCGCACAGCCACTCCTATCTTTTAAAAAATGATTGTGTTGGGCTGGGCGCAGTGCTCATGCCTGTAATCCCAGTAGTTTGGGAGGCCGAGGCCGGTGAATTGCTTGAGTCCAGGAGTTCGCGACCAGCCTGAGCAACATAGTGAAACCCTGTCTCTACGAAAAATAAAAAAATTATTGGGGTGTGGTGGCGCACGCCCACCTGTAATCCCGACTGCTCCAGAGGCTGAAGTGGGAGGATTGCTTGAGTCCAGGAGGTAGAGGTTGCACGGAGCTGGGATTACAAGGATTACACCACTGTACTCCAGCGTGGGTGACAGGGCAGGACCTTGTCTCAAAAAAAAAAAAAAAAAAAAAATTATGTTATACCAGATAGCTGCTTCACATGGTTATCAGGGTCTTCTCAGGAAGATATGTAACAGTTTCAGCCAGCTTGCTTGCTCTCTTTTTCTCTGTCCTTTTTCCTCCCCCAATCCCTTCTGCTCTTCTCTGTTTTTCTACTATCCTCCTTCCTTCTTTCCTTCCAAGTCTTCCTTTGCTTGAATGGCTCTGTGTAGGATATTTTAAATTCCTTTTTGGAAAAAAGAACGTTAGGGGTAGAAGGTAGTCGATTTACGGGTGGCAAATCCTTACAAATCTGCGGCAACCTCAATTCTTGCCTTCTCAGAAGAAAGAATTCCACTGAGGGACATAAGGCAGAAAAAGAGACTGAGGCAAGTTTCTCAGCAGGAGTGAAAGTTACTAAAAAGGTTTAGAGCAGGAAAGAAAGAAAAGTACAGTTGGAAGAGACCCAAGAGGGCGGTGTGAAGGTCAAGTGCAGTGTTTAACCGTAATCCTAGGACTTTATAGGTTGACCCACTTGTCTTGCACCCGTTCCCCATGATTCTTCCCTTAGGGTGCGCTGCCTGCGTGCACAGTGCCCTCCTTACGCTTGGGAGGTGAGCACGAGCAGTGTGTTTAGGAAGCTGTACACATGCCCGTCTGAAGCTTTCTTCCTGTTTCCTGTGGAGTATCTGAAGCTTTCTTCCTGTTTCCTGTGGAGTATCTGAAGCTTTCTTCCTGTTTCCTGTGGAGT